TGTAAAATAGACAAGCCACCGAAAAATACAAATTTTGGGGTGCATTTTTTTAGCATTTTTTTAGGGTTAGAATTAGGATTTAGAAGCAGGTTTTATAATAAACAAGTATAAATGGGTTTTAGAGGATCAAATAGAAACCCTTATTTCATTTTAATCCGATTTCATTATGATCTGCGACAATAAATGCTAAGTTTTTTAAAAAACTTGAAGATAGCGATTCAAGTAACAATACTTACAGCTAGTTTTTTCAATATTTTTCTAAATATAGGTTATTCGACCAAGTTTCTAAAAAAACTATAATATATTAGATATAGAGTATGCATAGAGTTTTTATACTGTCTATACTCTCTATATGCATGCATTACTCTCTTTGATAGCTAATAGTTCTTTTTAATTCACTTATATTATTCATTTTTTATCTTGTTATTAAACTATATACTAGTCAATAAGCAATTTGGTTAATAAAGATTACCTATATATACCGGTATTTAAGGAATTGATAGGTTTAAAACTATTGTACTAGATATGCATTTGACAATAGCTGTAAGAATCAATGTATTAAAAATTGTCATTGCAAATTTGTAATTTCAAATTGATAGTTTAATATATCTTTTTATCTGATAATTTTCAAAATCTTTTTTACTTTCTATTAGTTAGTGACGTCACCAAATAATCTACAAAAATTAGCCAATCATAATGAATACGTACCTGCTATGCCTTTTTCTCTTCGGCATGCTCTAGGAGCATGCCCTCGAAGGTACCCATCCCTTTGCGCCCCAACCCTAGTCGCCAGTGGTTCCAATGAAAATTCTCATTAAAAGAATTTTTCTACTGGTACATCTATAATATCAACCAATAAAATACGCGAAGAGCAAACCACATTAACCAATAATAATACACATATTATACATGACTTTAATAAGAATCTCTCGTCTATCAATTTTTACGTATGAATTAAAGACTTTCGTTATATAGTATAAGATCACAGATCTGCATGACCAATAATCAGTAGCGAATTAATAAACGATTTTGGTTTTTTTTTATTATTAATTTCTTATATAAAGTTTCTTTTTAAATGCTTAGCATTTTTACGAAATTTAGTTGTCTCTTCAAATTTTGAACTATACGATTTTTAAGTTGCTTTCAAGCATCGTTTTTAAGCATCATTATTTATATTTCATTATAGAATAATTGATAAAAAAAGTTTTTCAAATTCAAAATTTTTTACAATTATAGCTCAAGTAATTAACGGCAGAAGTAGAAATACAAACCCGAATATAGTAATTCTGCTGGAAGCTAAAATTATAAAAGTCACTGAAATCACTGGAAGCCACAGGAAATTACTGGAGCTTCCTTCAACAGCAGGGACAGTGCCCACTATGTAGAATGTAGTTTAACGTTACACAACTTATAAAAATTTTTTTTTATATTATTTTAAAGTACTTCGAATATCTTGTATTACTCACTTGTGTTATAAGATAATCGCCAATAAGTTACTAAGCA